GTTCTTCAATGTATTTCTTCCTCAGCCAGTTGTCTTCCTGTGACATCATACTCACTACATCAATTATTCCTAACTTGCTTCGTATCACCTTAAAAAACGGTATTTCCATGTCAGTTATCCAATGGATTGCAGAGCAGAATAAAGACTGTTCCCCCTACATAGGGTCACTTGGCAGATATAGATTGACACCTGTCCTCAGAGATCATGATACACACTGACACAGAGCAGAATAGGGACTGTTCCCCCTACATAGGGTCACTTGGCAGATATGGATTGACACCTGTCCTCAGAGACCATGATACACACTGACACAGAGCAGAATAGAGACTGTTCCCCCTACATGGGGTCACTTGGCAGATGTGGATTGACACCTGTCCTCAAAGCCCCTGATACACACTGACACAGAGCAGAATAGAGACTGTTCCCCCTACATAGGGTCACTTGGCAGATATGGATTGACACCTGTCCTCAGAGACCATGATACACACTGACACAGAGCAGAATAGAGACTGTTCTCCTACATAGGATCACTTGGCAGATATGGATTGACACCTGTCCTCAGAGCCCCTGATACACACTGACACAGAGCAGAATAGAGACTGTTCCTCCTACATAGGGTCACTTGACAGATATGGATTGACACCTGTCCTCAGAGCCCCTGATACACACTGACACAGAACAGAATAGAGACTGTTCCTCCTACATAGGGTCACTTGGCAGATATGGATTGACACTTGTCCTCAGAGCCCCTGATACACACTGACACAGAGCAGAATAGAGACTGTTTCCCCTACATAGGGTCACTTGGCAGATATGGATTGACACCTGTCCTCAGGGACCATGATACACACTGACACAGAGCAGAATAGAGACTGTTCCCCCTACATAGGTTCACTTGGCAGATATGGATTGACACCTGTCCTAAGGATCCCTGATACACTTTGACACAGAGCAGAATAGGGACTGTTCCCCCTACATAGGGTCACTTGGCAGATATGGATTGACACCTGTCCTCAGGGACCATGATACACACTGACACAGAGCAGAATAGAGACTGTTCCTCCTACATAGGGTCACTTGGCAGATATGGATTGACACCTATCCTAAGGATCCCTGATACACACTGACACAGAGCAGAATAGGGAATATTCACTAAATGCCAAACATTGTTATACAGGGAATATTCAGTAAATAAGGATAAGGGGGGACCTACTGTCCTCCCCCCCGGCCCCCACCCCTGCACGGTGGGTGGGGGCCATAAATCTCAATGGGGGGGGGACCTACTGTCCTCCCGCCCACCCCCACCCGTGAGCGGTGGGTGGGGGCCATAAAAATAATGAGGGGGGGACCTACTGTATGATGTTGTATTGATCAGGTAGTGTAAGGGTTACGCCCGCTTCACAGTGACAGACCAAACTCCCCGTTTAACGCACCGCAAACAACCGCAAACAGTCCATTTGCACAACCGCAAACTCCCCATTTCTACAAGGTTGGATACCAAGGTAGCCATGTCCCATTCCTTGTCCTCACTGATGTCATTGAAGGTCTCTTCCTCCACCCAGCCACGTACAACACCAAGGGTCCCCGAAAGGTGACAACAAACCCCCTGGGATGCCTGCTGTGTTTGGTCTTCCACCTCCTCAAAACCACCTTCCTCCTCTGACTCCTCTTCTTCATACTCCTCTCTCTGCATTATTATAAGGTATGTTAAGTAGTATTATTCCTATCAGTTTAATCCCTGTTACGTCCCCTATCAGGGGACGTGTATATGCATCGATTTTAGGAACCGTGAGATGGAAAAAGATGCTTGGTCGTTCCTCCTACTTCAAATTTGGGGCACTGCGCGTGCAATCTAATGTGCCACCAGATAGGAGTGGTGTGTTAAGTAGTACTATTCTTATCAGTTTAATCCCTGTTATGTCCCCTATCCGTTGATGTGGAGCATAGGACTCAGCCGAGGAGGTTATGGAAGAGGATGGAGTAGGAGGAGTAGAGGAGGTGGCAGCAGGCCTGCCTGCAAGTCGTGGCGGTGTAACCAACTCCTCTGCAGAGCCACGCATTCCATGCTTGGCAGCCGTCAGCAGGTTTACCCAGTGATCAGTGTAGGGGTGGCCTGTCTCTGCCTGTCATTTTTTTTTCGATTAGTGGTACTATGCATGCAAGCTACTGTGACACCAGATATGAGTGGCACTGAGAACTGGCAGAGGTTGGCAGAGTACACGCTGTAGGGCTGACACACCCGCTTTGCGACAACTAACTGCTATTCAATCTATAACAGTGAAAAAAGTTTTTTGTTTTTAAATGCAAGCTATTGTGACACCTGATATGAGCGGCACCAGGGGCGGACTGACCACTCGGGCCTCAGTCAGGGGCCCGGCAGCACAGCCTTGCTCCAGCTGGAGAGATCAAAGATCTCTCCAACTGGAACGAAAAAATAAATAAGATAAAACTATTTAATTGATAGGTTGTGGGGCCACTGATGCAGTGCGGGGCCCCACAGCCTACCGCTCTTTAAATCCACCCCCCTCCCTCCTCCCATGAGACCTGGCAGCTTCACCTCCTCTCTGCCAGGTCTCCTGCTTCCAGTCCCGCGGTGCTCTGTGCGATGGGAGAGGCAGGGACAGGAAGTGACATCACTTCCTGTTTACTCCTCTCACACAGAGCCCAGCGAGGGGAAGGAGCTGCAGCCGGGGAGACCACAAGGAGCAGAGAGGAAGGTAGGCACTAATCACCCCCCCACTGTCACTAATCACCCCCCACTGTCACTAGTCACCCCCCACTGTCACTAATCATCCCCCCACTGTCACTAGTCACCCCCCCACTGTCACTAATCACCCCCCCACTCTAGTGACAGAGTGAGGGATGGTGTGACTAGTGACAGAAGGAGGGAGGGAGTAGTGACAGAGTGAGGGAGGTGGTGACTAGTGACAGTCACCACCTCCCTCACTCTGTCACTAGTCACCCGTTCTTTCCCTCACTCTGCCACTAGTCACCCCCTCACTCTAGTGACAGAGTGAGGGAGGGGGTGACTAGTGACAGAGTTAGGGAGGGAAGGGGTGACTAGTTACAGAGTGAGGAAGGGGTGACTAGTGACAGAGGGAGGGGTGACTAGGGACAAAGTGAGGGAGGTGGTGACTAGTGACAGTCACCACCTCCCTCACTCTGTCACTAGTCACCCCCTCCCTCACTCTGTCACTGTGTCACCCCCTCCCTCTGTCACTGGTCACCCACTCCCTCCCTCCCTCTGTCACTGGTCACCCACTCCCTCCCTCACTCTGTCACCAGTCATCCCCTCACTCTGTCACTAGTAACCCCTTCCTTCCCTCACTCTGCCACTAGTCACCCCTTTCCTCACTCTGTCACCTGTCACCCCCTCACTCTGTCACTAGTCACCCCCTCACTCTAGTGACAGAGTGAGGGAGGGTGTGACTAGTGACAGAGAGAGGGAGGGGGTGACTAGTGACAGAGTGAGGGAGGTGGTGATTAGTGACAGAGGAGGGATGGGGTGACTAGTGACAGTCACCACCTCCTTCACTCTGTCACTGTGTCACCCCCTCCCTCACTCTGTCACTGTGTCACCCCCTTCCTCACTCTGTCACTAGTCACCCACTCCCTTCCTCACTCTGTCACTAGTCACCCCCTCTCTCACTTTGTCACCAGTCATTCCTTCACTCTGTCACCAGTCATCCCTTCCTTCCCTCACTCTGCCACTAGTCATCCCTTCCCTCACTCTGTCACCAGTCATCCCCTCACTCTGTCACCAGTCACCCCTTCCTTCCTTCACAGTGACAGAGTTAGGGAGAGAGTGACTAGTGACAGAGAGAGGGATGGGGTGACTAGTGACAGAGTGAGGAAGGGGGTGACTAGGGACAGAGGGGGTGACTAGTGACAGAGTGAGTGAGGGGGTGACTAGTGACAGAGTGAGGGAGGGGGTGACACAGTGACAGAGTTAGGGAGGGAGTGACTAGTGACAGAGAGAGGGATGGGGTGACTAATGACAGTCACCCCCTCCCTCCCTCTGTCACTAGTCACTCCCTCCCTCTGTCACTAGTCATTCCCTCCCTCTGTCACCAGTCATCCCCTCACTCTGTCACTAGTCACTTCGTCCCTCCCTCACTTTGCCACTAGTCATCTCTTCCCTCCCTCCCCCACTCTGCCACTAGTCACCCATTCCCTAACTCTGTCACTAGTCACCCCCTCACTCTGTCACCAGTCACCCCCACTCACTGTGTCTCCCCCTCACTCTGCCACCACTCAACCCCTCCTTCCCTCACTCTGCCACCAGGTACCCCCTCACTCTGCCACCTGTCACAACCTCCCACACTCTTCCACCTGTCACCTTCTCCCTCATACACTCTGTCACCTGTCACATATGCATTCACACAGACACTATATACAAAAAAGCACATGTAGTCATCCAGACATGCACAAGTGCATTCACACAGACTCAAAAACAAACATGCATTGATACACAGGTCTTCACAATATACACATCCAAAGGAATGCCGTATTCTGAGTTATATTTAACATTTATTTAATGCACGTATATTTGGCCTTCAAAGGGCCTGGGATCTAATTTTGCCCAGGAGCCCCAAAGGCTCTCAGTCCGCCCCTGAGCGGCACTGTGAACTGGCAGAGTACACGCTGTAGGGCTGACACACCCGCTTTGAGACAACTAACTGCTATTCAATCTATAACAGTGAAAAAAGTTTTTTGTTTTTAAATGCAAGCTATTGTGACACGAGTGAGTGAGTGAGTGAGTGGTGGCACTGAGCACAGTATCCACTGTGAGCCTGACACAGAAGCTGGCAGACAACTAACTGCTATTCAATCTATTATAGTGAATTTTTTTTTAAATGCAAGCTATTGTGACACCAGTGAGTGAGTGGTGGCACTGGGCACAGCATCCACTGTGAGCCTGACACACAGACGCTTGCAGACAACTAACTGCTATTCAATCTATAACAGTGAAAATATTTTTGGTTTTTAAATGCACGCTATTGTGACACCAGTGAGTGAGTGGTGGCACTGGGCACAGTATCCACTGTGAGCCTGACACACCCGCTTTGAGACAACTAACTGCTATTCAATCTATAACAGTGAAAAAAGTTTTTTGTTTTTAAATGCAAGCTATTATGACACCAGATAAGAGTGGCACTGTGAACTGGCAGAGTACACGCTGTAGGGCTGACACACCCGCTTTGAGACAACTAACTGCTATTCAATCTATAACAGTGAAAAAAGTTTTTTGTTTTTAAATGCACGCTATTGTGACACTAGTGAGTGAGTGGTGGCACTGGGCACAGTGTCCACTGTGAGCCTGACACACCCGCTTTGAGACAACTAACTGCTATTCAATCTATAACAGTGAAAAACGTTTTTTGTTTTTAAATGTTATGCTATTATGACACCAGATAAGAGTGGCACTGTGAACTGGCAGAGTACACGCTGTAGGGCTGACACACCCGCTTTGAGACAACTAACTGCTATTCAATCTATAACAGTGAAAAAAGTTTTTTGTTTTTAAATGCAAGCTATTGTGACACCAGTGAGTGAGTGGTGGCACTGGGCACAGTGTCCACTGTGAGCCTGACACACCCACTTTGAGACAACTAACTGCTATTCAATCTATAACAGTGAAAAAAGTTTTTTTGTTTTTAAATGCACGCTATTGTGACACCAGATAAGAGTGGCACTGTGAACTGGCAGAGTACACGCTGTAGGGCTGACACACCTGCTTTGAGACAACTAACTGCTATTCAATCTATAACAGTGAAAAAAGTTTTTTTTTTTTTAAATACAAGCTATTGTGACACCACTGAGTGAGTGGTGGCACTGGGCACAGTATCCACTGTGAGCCTGACACACCCGTTTTGAGACAACTAACTGCTATTCAATCTATAACAGTGAAAAAAGTTTTTTGTTTTTAAATGCACGCTATTGAGACACCAGTGAGTGAGTGGTGGCACTGGGCACAGCATCCACTGAAGCCTGACACACAGACGCTTGCAGACAACTAACTGCTATTCAATCTATAACAGTGAAAAAAGTTTTTGGGCTTTTAAATGCACGCTATTGTGAAACCAGTGAGTGAGTGGTGGCACTTGGCAAGTGGGCACAGTATACGCTGCGAGCCTGACACACAGACGCTTGCAGACAACTAACTGCTATTCAATCTATAACAGTGAAAAAAGTTTTTGGGTTTTTAAATGCACGCTATTGTGACACCAGTGAGTGAGTGGTGGCACTGGGCAAGTGGGTACAGTATACGCTGCGATCCTGACACACAGACGCTTGGAGACAACTAACTGCTATTCAATCTATAACAGTGAAAAAAGTTTTTTGGTTTTTAAATGCACGCTATTGTGACACCAGTGAGTGAGTGGTGGCACTGGGCACAGTATCCACTGTGAGCCTGACACACCCGTTTTGAGACAACTATCTGCTATTCAATCTATAACAGTGAAAAAAGTTTTTTGTTTTTAAATGCAAGCTATTATGACACCAGATAAGAGTGGCACTGTGAACTGGCAGAGTACACGCTGTAGGGCTGACACACCCGCTTTGAGACAACTAACTGCTATTCAATCTATAACAGTGAAAAACATTTTTTGTTTTTAAATGCAAGCTATTGTGACACCAGTGAGTGAGTGGTGGCACTGGGCACAGTATCCACTGTGAGCCTGACACACCCGCTTTGAGACAACTAACTGCTATTCAATCTATAACAGTGAAAAAAGTTTTTGGGTTTTTAAATGCACGCTATTGTGACACTAGATAAGAGTGGCACTGTGAACTGGCAGAGTACACGCTGTAGGGCTGACACACCCGCTTTGAGACAACTAACTGCTATTCAATCTATAACCTGGACTTCTTATTTCTCCTACTTTTGTTATAAACTGTATTTCTTTCTTTATCCACCCCCCACAGTATTACTGCTTAATTGATGACTATTGCACCCTCCATCCTTTAACTCTTGTTTAGTTACATGTTTGTTTTGCTAGTGTTAGTTGTTGCACTCTATGCCTCATTAATTTATGATGTTCCCTATTTATGACTTTTACCTATCTTATCTCTGCCATTCCCTCATATCCTTAAATTTAAATTCCCTTTCATCTGTTTTTTCCTTGATTTTTGTTTTTAACACCCCAATGATTCTCCACCCACAATCTACTTTATCTAACCCCAGATTCTCTCCTTTATAGCCTGGGCCCCATACAATATTGAATCAGCTACACCCAGGACTCCCAGCACACAACCCTGCAGGACTTGCCATAAGCAGAGGTAGCATTTCTGGATGATCGCTTCCCACCCACCCTACCCCACACCCCACCCTCCCCATGGCTATCACTACATTTATAGATAGTTCAAATTACCTACCATTCCTCTGAACCAATTATGTTAGCCTCTGTCCACCAAGACCTCCACACCCAAAAAAAGCTATACTCACTCAATACCTCTTTAACCCTTAACCCTCCTAACCACAGCTCTTAAAAATACAGCACCTACTCTCCTACTAATGTTCTCACTTCTATTTTTCACTTTCTCTCTCACTTCCCTCATCATTAAAATCTCTCTATCATTTTACTTACCTGTTCCTGCTAACACCATCTTCATTGCTCCCTCTCTGCTCCCCTCATCTCAGTATTCATCACACGCACTTTATTCATATCTATCCAGCCTTTCTCCACAAACCCCTCCTAAATACCCTAAATACAAGCTCTCATCCCCAACATTTAAATCTTACTCCCACCTTCTCTTCCTTTCCATCCTACTACTCCTAGCAGCAGGTGATGTCTCTCCAAACCCTGGTCCCTCCTCTTGTCAGCCACCTGGTACAAACACCAGAAACCACGACAACCTAATACCCATTCCATGTAATTCTCACTATAATTCCTCTTTTAAAGCTGCCCTCTGGAATGCACGCTCTGTGTGCAGCACCTTTAAATCTACTTCCATCCATGACCTATTTATCTCACACTCCCTAAACATACTTGCACTAACAGAAACATGGCTCTCTCCCTCTGATACTGCTACACCTGCCTCACTGTCTTTTGGTGGTCTTCACTTTACCCACAACCCAAGACAAGCAGAGATTAAAGGTGGCGGTGTAGGTTTTCTTCTCTCACCCCACTGCACCTTTAAAACCCTGTCTACCCCTCCTTCCCTCTCTTTCCCATCATTTGAAATTCATTCAATTCGCCTTTTCAAACCCTTCTCTACTAACATTGCCGTAATCTATCGTCCCCCTGGTTCCCCTCTCCTCTTCCTTGACCACTTTGCTGCCTGGCTACCCTACTTCCTCTCTTCCAACATCCCATCCCTAATTCTTGTAGACTTCAATATTCCCGTTAACCCACCTTTGACCCCAGGAGCCTCTAAACTACTTTCAATCACTTCCTCCCTTGGACTTTTGCAGTGGGTTAATTCTCCCACTCATGTAGCTGGCAATACCCTCGACCTTATTTTCTCTTCTTCATGTACAATATCTAATATCTGCAACACCCCATTTCCTCTCTCTGATCACCACCTCTTATCATTTGCTCTCAATTACCCCCTCACCCAACAATCTCAGCCTAACCCCCCTCAGCTCAGGAGGAACCTTAACTCTATTGACCTCAAGCAGCTGTCAGCTGACATTGATTCACAACTGCTATCCATCCCTTCCCTCTCCTGTCCCTCACTGGCCATCTCCACATATAACACTACCCTCACATCTGCCTTGAACGCTGCAGCCCCTCTCAAAACATGCACCTCGAGGAGGATACGGCCCCAACCTTGGCATAATAAATCAACACGCTATCTGCAGAGTTGCTCCCGTTGTGCTGAACGCTCCTGGAGGAAGTCCCACACCCAGGCAGACTTTCTCCATTATAGATTCATGTTGCTTTCATACAGCGCAGCCCTCGCCAAACAGTCATACTTTTCCTCTCTCATTAGTTCATGCTCCCGCAATCCCAGACGCCTCTTTGACACCTTTAATTCCCTTCTCCGCCCTGCTGTGGCCACCCCCCAAACTAAACTTACAGCTGATAGCTTTGCATGCTACTTTACCGACAAGATTGAACAGCTAAGGAAACAATTCTCCCCTCCTTGCCGTTCTCCTTCTCAACCACATGTAAATCT